ATTATTGTGGTTAGGTATGGTTAACTATAGTCCTGCTGTAGAACCATGCCCATTTTAAATGGAGGCTCCACCCCTAATTAAACTTCTCTCTCTGCCTACAATGGCTTGCTGGACGCACAGAAAAGAAAAGGGTTTCCCTGGAGATTTTTTTTGTGAAAATTTGAATGTTGGAAACTATGCAGCTATCTCCCAAGAATATAAGCATGTGTGTTAATTCAGTAGAGGGTTAACATTTGTCCGGTTCAAGTGAGGACACAAGCCAGATTCTACTTGCAAGCTTGTAATTATGGATGTTTTGTCAATGACCACAATGTATTAAAAAAAAAAATACTTATGAATTCAACTTATGACTGTTTATTTGCTTAATGATGTTTTGACTTTTTCATGTATCTTACTAAAGTACAAAGATTTATATGGAATAACGCTGAGCAGAGGACAAGGAACCGTAACAAACTCCAGCACAAAGCAGGGAAATTTAAAGCACAAGTCTCTGCAGTTGAAAATGTCTAAAAATCCACATAGTTTAGTTTATCTTGTTAAATTCCACAGAACATTGCTTTTTTTCAAAATTTCAGTCATTTATGTTTTGTTCCTTTTTAATAGGGAGAATCGAGGTATTATTCTTCTCTACATTCATATAGTTTAGCATAGAGAATTTAAATGTAGCAAGTCATTACAGGGGGAAAAAAAAAGTATCATTAGCCTTTAAAATATAAAATTTGGCTGTTTTGTGTTTTGTATGTATATAATTTTTAGGAATTCATTCATAAGTTAAGTGATTACAAGAACTTTCAGTGGAAGATATGTAGAGGCTGACTTGATTTAAGGACTGAGGAGGTAGAGAGGAAGAAGCTAGCAGATAATTATGGACCGAGGATGTGTGAGGAATTTTAGGGCCTTTTAGGATGTTGGGAGACAGAGTAGATGATTATCATGTGTCAAAGTAGGTAAAGTAGAAGATCTGAAATTCAAATTTTCTAATAAAACTATTGGGTTAATAAAAAAACATTTAGGCATAAAGGGCTTGTTTCCACCAAACGCAGACCAGATCTGCAAGAGTTTCTGCACATGCAGTGCAGTGGGTTTTGCCGCGTTTTTAATGCGTTCCGAGCCGTTTTTGGTTAAAAAAAAACAATTTTTTTGTTTAAAATGGGCTGCCAGTCCGTTCCAGGGCGTTTGCATGCGTTCCAGAGCAGGTAAAATAGGGCTTGCTGCAGTTTTTTTACATGCTTTGGAACTGAACGCTGCGGTGTGAACTAGAGCCAAAAAAATGCCATTGGAATACATTGGACGCAGTTTTGTTCCGGTCTGTAACTGCTCGGCTCTGCTCCTGGAACGCGCTTGGTGTGAACAAGGCCAAAGACGTGCACAAACTAGCCAAATTGTAGCTAGGCTACAAATTAAAAAATGTCTGCCACTCATAAATGCAGAGTTTATTCTTATATCTCCGACTTCTTTGTTGATACCTCATGTATGCAGATTAAAAGTTGTGCATGTATGCATGTTCTAATTGTTTGTCCAGTGTGTGTTACATGTGTGTAAGGTTTCTAAATTTATGTGCTCTTTTTGCCCAGAAGGAAAAGTGAAACACTGTACTTCTGGTTACAAGGTTCTCATTATTCACTCCTCAAATATGTCCATGCTGGTACTTGCAAATGTGCTTCTTAGGCATCCAGTGCAATCACATAGGAGTAGGAAGTCCTCAGCCCTGTGTTGGTTCCAACCTAGGGAGTAGGAGCATATACAGGGCTTTTTCCTGCATGGGCCAAGCACAGGCTCACTTTAACCCTTCCACTGACAGCTTTTTTTTTTGCATTTTGTACACATGTTAAAATGTACATTTTAGGCCTGAAGATTACTTAAAACCCCTTAGAATTATGCATTTCCTGGTAGCAGAGACCCTGTTGCATAAAATGGTGGCATCTGCGTTTTTTTTGTCACAAAATATTAGTGCAACTGTTTATCAAACCCACATGGCATACATCGGCAGCAGAAAAAATGGTTAAAGGAGAACTATGAGGTGAGTGCTTTTCACTGACATTATAGTTCTAGCCGACCTGTGACAATGAGACTGTCACAGGTCGGCTCAGTAGATCGGGAGGTGAGCGAACATATTCCGGCGTTCGCTTACCTCTCGATCCTGTCACGGCTCCCTTCCGTGACAGGGGAGGGGCTGGATTACCCCCTCCCCGCTTCGATCTGCCAGCGCTGACTGGCGGAACAGATGGGGGAGGGGGTGGGTACAGCTGGCTCTGCCTCTAGATAGGCAGAGCCAGCTGTCAGTCACGCAGCTGGGCGGATCCAGACATAATTGTCGATATCCGCTTCAGATGCGGCATCTTAGTATACTGCGAGCAGCAGCTGGCGGTATACTGCGGCGTCTGAGCCTAGGGTGACGGGAGGACGCTAGTTTGGCATACAGCCGAACAAAACTGTTCCCAAAACCGCCAGGTCAGTATGCCTTATGTCCATGGCATTTACCATTCTGCTATAAGCTCATGGTCCCCTTTAAATTAATAGCTGTCATCAGCGGCTGACAGCTTTTAACAAAAATTCTGGGCTCCCCCCGCCGGCACCTCTCCACCCTGCCTGTGTCTCTATGGATCCCAGCTGCTCTCCCCCGCTTGTATGGACTGAGACAGCAGGGATCCGAATAGAAATGGCCAGCGGAGGAGCGAGCCGCTTGATGAGAGAGGAGGCGCTGTCAGTTTCAGGATGACAACGGCTGTGTGCATGGCCGAGCAGAGGATCGGTAAATATCAGTAATATTTACTGATCCTCTGTGTGCAGTCCAAACACTGGAGTGATCAGTTGATCACTGCAATGTTTGTAAATAACTGGGGACACATAGTACTATGTGTGAGTTATGTTATGTCACTTCCTGTTCATTTATGAATTTCTCAATGGGGAGGAGCATTCACTACAGAGGCTTCTCCCCATTCAGAAACTGGTTGATAGTAAATATTTTACTATCAATAGTTTCTGAATGAATGAGAAGCCTCTGTACTGAGTGCTTTCCATTAATTTAGAACAGAGGCTGCAGAAAAAGAAATTGAGTACTCTGTGACCTTCAAAAGGGGAATGACCCCATAAGGTTCACCGTAGCACTACCCACCCCCATCCCCCCCAAAAGTTAAAAAAAATATTTAAAAAAATAACTAATAAAACCCCACAAACCCTCCTTCCCCCATACACAAAACATACACGTGCACCATACTGTGGCGTATGCCATGCAAATGTGCTGCAGTGCGTTGTCAGAACTATGGGGCTTTTCCCCATAGTTCTCCTTAGGGTAACGGGAGGACACAAACTAGCGTCCTCCTGTCACCCTAAGCTCAATATACCGTGAGCTGTAGCTCGCAGTATACTGAGACGGCGCAGCTGAAGCGGATCCCGACAATTATGTCAGGATCCGCACAGCTGCGTGACTGACAGCTGGCTCTGCCTATCTAGAGGCAGAGCCAGCTGTACCTGCCCGCTCCCCCGTCCGTTCCGCCAGTCAGCGCTGGCGGGGAGGGGGGAATCCAGCCCCTCCCCTGTCATGGCAGAGAGCCGTGACAGGATCGAGAGGTGAGCCACCTCCCGATCCACTAAGCCGACCTGTGACAGTCTCATTGTTGAAGGTCGGCTAGAACTAGGAGGTGAGTGAAAAGCACTCACCTCATAGTTCTCCTTTAACTGGCAGCGCATGGCAAAGCTTTGTGACTCATTGCCGTGCGTTGATACCTTGTGTTGCAATTAAAGATACGCCTTTATCATTTTATGACGACACGAACACCAACACATCGCAAAAACGTTTTTTTAGATAAGTCGCTAGTTACAGTTTTGCATGCCTTCATTTTTTTACCTTTTCGCAAAAGAACAATTTAAAATCTGCAAATAATTGTTATTTATTAACTCAATACAGTTTTTTATCTTTTAGATTTAATTGGAAAATAATGTATGTGCACTGATACTGATTTTAGTGTGCTTTCATCAATTGAATTGTGTATTTTTAATATTTGAGAAACATTTGTGCTATTATCGCAGGGCCTACATATTTAGTAGCACCATCTTTTTATTCTGCCGGGCCTGTGCTTTCAGAAAATATATGGTTTGGTTTTTTTTTTTTTTTTTTTACAAACTCTAGCAACGCAGCAGTTGAAAATCAAATCCATGGGAAAAATTGCTGAGGTGCAATGCGTTCCGGAGGGCTTGAAGCGAAAGGGTTAAAGGTTTTTTTTTTAAATCTATTTTTCTAATTTTATAAGTGAGAAAAGTCATGGGTTAGAACACTGTCTTTGTCTTTTTTTTAATTTTTTTTCTAATATCAATGTGCTTTTGAAACTTAACGTTTACCAAATATTCTCTTATTCTTACAGACTCCTTTTCAGTCTTCTGGGTTAGATACCAGTAGAACAACTCGGCATCATGGTCTAGTGGACAGGGTGTATCGAGATCGAAATCGTCTTGGATCCCCCCATAGAAGGCCTTTGTCAGTAGACAAACATGGACGACAAATATCCTTGTTTAATGTTTTGTTATATGTTAACGGTTGGAACGATTAGTTGTATAATTTATTGTAACAGCAAGAGAAAAAACAGAGGGGGGCAATTCAACTTATGCATTAAGTATCGTTGTAAAAATACAGACATCCGGGAGCTTCCTACATCTGAGTAGGCGTATTTAATCGTCCTGTCAGCCACTCACACTCTCCGATGTCATAATGCAGAAGTGATGTGTATTACATGACTTCCGCATTCTTGTGCCACTCTCCAGCTTCAGATCCTGGAGAGAAGCTGATGAAGCAGATCTCTACTTCATTAGCTCCTTTGGGGTTCCCTAGGTGACATTAGGGGTCTTGGACCCATGATGTCTCCATAAAGAGGACCTGTCACATCTCTTTGCTATCACATAGGGGGATTTCTTAGCCCCCTATGGGATAAGAAGAAAGTTAAGTGAAAAAAAAAAGTTACAAAAAAATGTTTTCAAGTCACACTAGAAAAAGAATAAAAAACCCACAAATTTGTTTAAAGTCCCCAACTATACATACATACATGCAAACATGCATCCGGGTGCGAAAACGACGATTGCGCCCATTACGCCACACATGTTACATATGGCCGTGAACGTTGCAGTGAGAGCAATAATTCTATGGCCATTAATTACCGATAACTCTAAACTGATGAGCGGTTAAAGCTTTGGGTTTGGGCGTGCGCAATTTTAAAGCTTGACATGTTTGGTGGCTATTTACCCAACATAACCCCGTCTTTTATATTTTACCAAAAAATTGGGTAATAATTGTATTATAATGTAAAAAAAACAATGTGAAAGCAGTTCTTCCTTCCAAGGTTGCCACCTAATTATTGAGGAAATAAAATATAAAAATAAATAAATACCTAGGCACAACAAATAAGTCATTTTCTCCATGGATATGCCTCCCCAGACCATCACTGACCCACCACCAAACCGGTCATGCTGAACAAAGTTACTGGGAGCATAACATTCTCCACGACTTCTCTAGACCCTTTCATGTCTGTCACAGGGTGCCACTGGCGGACCTGCCAATTCTGGTGTTCAATGGCAAATGCCAATCAACCTCCACGGTGCCGGGCAGTGAGCACAGGACCCACTAGAGGAGGTCGCGGCCCTCAGGCCACCCTTGTGAAGTCTGTTTCTGATTGTTTGGTCAGCGACATTCACCCCAGTGGCCTGCTGAAGGTCATTTTGTAGGGCTCTGGCAGTGCTCATTCCGTTCCTCCTTGCACAAAGGAGCAGATAGCGGTCCTGCTGATGGGTTAAGGACCTTCTGTGTCCTGGAATTTCCTCCATGCTCTTGAAACTATGCTGGGAGACGCAGCAAACCTTCTGGCAATGGCACGTATTGATGTGCCATCCTGGAGGAGTTGGCATGCCTATGAAACCTCTATAGGGTCCAGGTATTGCCTCATGCTACCAGTAGCCAAATGCAAAACTAGTGAAAAACAGTCAGAATAGATGAGTAGGGAAAAAGTGGCCTCCCCCTGTAAAACCATTCCTGTTTTGGAGGTTGTCTCATTGTTGCCCATCTAGTGCACCTGTCGTTAATTTCATTAACACCAAAGCATCTGAAACTGATTAACATCTCCCTCTGATACCTACCTGACCTGATCAATATCCCAGGAGTTTCATTGACTTCATGCTATACTCTGATTAATAAGTGTTACGTTAATTTTTTTCAGAAGTGTATATATATAAAATATTTCTGTTGGCCTATATGTTGCACCTGTGTACTTTTTTCCTTTTTTTTGCTATATTTTATTGCTTCAATTGTTAGGTGACAACCTTGGAAGGAAGAACTGCTCTCTCGTGTTCTGTTAACTTCTCAAGAAATTTTTAAATCTAGGATTAATGTATTGAAACCATGCTTTTTCTGGAAAATCTAGATGTCACTCTCGCTCCATACTGTCCTGTACAAATTTTAAATTTTAGAGAGACAGTTTAAAAGCTGCCATTTACTGCTTTGCTTAGCAAGGGGCAAGTTGGACATACACAGAGAGCAAGGATTCTTCTCTGCAGCATGCTAGCAGGGGATAGGCTTTTCTACTAAAGAAAATTAACTGTAAGGCTGGGCACACACCTTATAACCATCGCAAGACTTTTGTCTTGCAATGGTTGTAAGTTAATTAAAAAAACGTACGATCTGCCTATCTTGGACAGGCAGATCGTACTTGCGATGATCGCAAGCCGCTTCCACCTGAGGGGCGGGCTTCCGATGACCGCAATGCCGAACGGGCAGTGTGCGCTTGCGCACACCGGCCCGTCCGGCTTTTATCTTAGGAACATGCTACACACCCGCCGAACATCGTACGATGCTCGGCGTGTTTTCGAACATGTTCGTAAGTTAAGTCATGCGACCTTACAGTAGTAGAGGTCGCACGGCTTCCACACACCTTACGATAATCGCGCGATCGAGGGATTTCCCGCGATTATCGTAAGGTGCCCAGACACCTTACGATTATAGGACAAAACTTTTCATCCGATGATCGAATAGTCGTACGATTTTTGTACGGCAGCCCCATCCTACCCCGATGATCGCAAGATTAATTTAGCTGTAATTAACAAAAAGCACCAGGACGAAATGCGGTAATTGATTTGCCGTATTTTCTTACAGAAGATATTATCACCACATATTATATTTAAAGTGTTATTAAACCCTAAACTTGTATTGGCTATTTCAGCTGCTGGCATCAGCACTTTTGTATGCAGTTTCTTCATTTGAACCTTTCCTTCCTTTCTTTCAGTTTCAGCTGGTCTCATAATCGCTGCCCCAGCTTTTACATTCCCTTGAAGGGTCCTATGGAGCCACCTGTGTAATGCGCCCCACCTGCCTGGGCTGAAGCTGTGTCTCCCTACACTGTTTGCTTCAGTACAGACAGCCCTGAATCCTAGGTCAACAAGCCTTTCCCCTTATTTTCCTTCCTCCAAGCTAATAGATTGACAGCTGCTTGAGAATGTGCTGTCCCTTATTAACTCTTCCCTCTGAAGTACCCAGTACATGTGCTTTCATAATGGCAATTCGGGAAAGCTGTGCTGAGGGAGCTGGAGCCAGTGGGTTTTTTTTTTTCTAAGCTGTAAGTGCTTGGGCAAAAATATTAAGCAGTTTATTGGGGAATGATTATTTGGTTGAGGTAGAAAAGAAATGTAAGTTTTAACACTGTTTTTTTTCTTTGGTTGCTCAGATTGTACATGATTTTTCTGGTAACTTATCAACACCAGGTACAGCAACATCTTCCACATTATACATTTACTGGACATTATAAAAATATAAATCCAGATTCTTACCTGTGGTTGTGGTGAAGGCTTTCCTAATTTTGTGCATTTTAGGTTAAAAAAGAGGCTATTTTATTTTGACAGTATATTAAACTACATGTACAATATTTACAGGGTTATTCACAAAAGGGTGAAGAGTTTGGAGAAGGCAGGAGATATGAACAATCTAGGACAGGGGTCTCAAACTCAATTGCCTCGAGGGCCACTCGACAAAAATTTTTCTCCCATGGGGGCCGCTCGCTAAATTTCAAACTTTAAAGGAGAACTATGAGGTGAGTGATTTTCACTCAGCCTCATAGTTCGAGCCGACGTGTGACAGTGAAACTGTCACACGTCGACTCAATAGATTGAGAAGTGAGCGAACGCATAGCGTCGCTCGCTCACTTCTCTACCCTGTCCCTGCAGAGAGCCGTGGCAGGGATCCCCCCCATCCGATCCTCCAGCGCTGACTGGAGGAACGAACGGGGGAGGGGGGCGGGTACAGCTGGGTCTGCCTCTAGATAGGCAGAGGCAGCTGTCACTCACGCAGCTGGGGGGATCTCGACCAGTAATATAGTGATCCGTCCCGGATCCATAGTTCTCTTTTAAAATAAAATGTAACTATATGCGATATGGTACTACGGACCCCAATACTCACAAATAAGGCCCCATTCATATCTGTAGATTTAGGTGCAAATATGGATTCCTGCGTCAGAAACTTGTGTTTTCCTGCAGCAGGAATCCCTAATCTGGTGTTTACACGCGGCGGCTGTCACCCATTCAAGTTAATGATCAGGTGACAGCAGTTGCATGTAAATGCCTGCACACCGCATTTAATGATATGTGATATTATTACATGCGTTTGGAAAACATTCTCCCTGGTTACACAATCATTGCGTCCAGGGAGAGTAATTTATTCCTAACCGAATGTAATAATATCGCATATCGTTACATGCGGTGTGCAGAAGTTTATATGCAACTTCTGTCACCTGATCATTAACTTGAATAGGTGACAGCTGCCGCTTTTAAAAGCCAGATTAGGGATTTCTGATGCAGGAAACGCATGTTCCTGATGCAGGAATCCATAATTGCACCTAAAGATACAGGTGTGAATGGATCCTAATACACTTATACTCTTTCTACCCCC